TGTAAACAAATCCAGCCATTTATTTCTCTTTAACACATTACTTAAATGAGTAAAAACTTTCTGCATTCCAATAAATGTTAAGTTTGATTTAAAAAAACCTTATAAAGTATTTTTTTTTTTCCCGAAAGCGATAAACATCATATTAACAAAAAGCTAGTGGGGTATGTGGGCCCCATCAGTGATCCTTACACTCTGAGACGCTGAGGCAGGAGGATCACAAGTTTGAGCTCAGCCTGGGCAACTCAATACCAAGTGAGACCTTGTCTCAAAATGCAACAAAGGGCAAGAGATGTAGCTCAGAGCAAAGGCTTTGGGTTCAGTTCTAAGTACTAAAAAAAAAAGAAAAAAAGAAAAAAAATTTAAATACAATGATCTGACCACCATTACTATTCAGGGAAAGGGTGACATCTTGGAACTTCAGGTGGTTGTCACCTCTGATTCAACTTCAAACCATTCTATGCTAGAAGTTTCTTAGGTCTTTAGCCAGTCTCAAAGCAGCACTGAGAATTTATTCTGGGCAGAACACAGACTATCTTATTATTAACTTTGTAATTGGTGCTAGAGTTCCTAGGCACCAACCAAAGGTACACACATTGTGTCAGTACTGTCTGTACACACTATAAGAAAAAAACCCCAAAAAACTCTTTGTCCCAAGTCCTTCCTAGAGGCACTTTCTTTTAATGCTTTTAGTTACTTCCTTCCTTCTGCAACGTAACCCTCTCTGCTTCCTTCCATATTAGGAACTGAACCATGCCTACCTCTGAGGGACACACCTGGTGTCCACTGTATAACTTGCACTGGATTACTGTACAAATGACCTCAATTGAATGCCTTTAGGCAACAAACAGAAGGAGTACCTGGAGGAAACATCACTCCATACTTTAATAGACTTTGAAACATTGAATTTAAGATAAAAGAAAAAAAAAAGCGTTCTCCCTACCTTTATCAGTGATCATTATTTCTACTCACAGGGAATTTCTTTTCTTTTTCAGCTCATTTTTTTTTAACTTTGAAGTAATAAGTGTCAAAATCACAGCAAATATACAAAACAGATAAAATCTATTCTCACTTTTTGGGGTACTATACTATGCTTATAATAGATTCAATACCTTAGGTGGAAAGCCAGTTGAGCCCGGGCATCCCTTTTTCCTTAAGGTTGGAGTGTGAGCTGGAAGTGGAGCACAGTCTGCAATCTGAACCCAGGAAGCAAAATGGAAATAAACGTCATGAAAAACTCAATTTATTTCAAAAATAATTAGCGAGAAACCAATGTAAATAAGAACAGTGTCAACAAGGCAATGTCTACCAGTTAATGTCAAAGTAAAGCTCACATACTACTGCTAACTTAATTTCAGCCTGCAATATCTACAAATGAAACACTTGTCCAATAAGTAAATATTATTCCAATCTGGAAATTTAAAAATAAATAATTTTAAAAAGAAGATTCACAGGAAAACAAAACAATTATAGCTGGTGGCCTACATAAAAATGAGGCCATTTTCACCATCTGAATTTGTCATACTGATCTTTAAAAAATAAGTTATAATAAAAATATTGAGATTATTTTTAAATATCCAACTTCCGTGTTTAGAAGACATACTATACATATATATGTACATTATAATGTACATGTAGATTTTATATATATATATATCTCAAATATAATGGCTTTGACTATAGATAAAAATTAGTGAAATTTTTGTGCAAAAATTAATTTTTCAAATGAATTTAAATTATTTAATGATATTGAAATTCTGAATTTCATACAAATTTAGCTACAGACCATATCTTTGTAGCTAGAAGAGTCTTATTTTATGGGATAAGATATATCTTTGAATGAAAATAATCTGATTTTATTGGATATTACTGTAGGAAAAAGGTTACTGTTTAATTAGGCATAAAAAAGACATGAGAAACCTTTAGGATGTTAAGCAAGTAATTAAAAGAACAGCTAATCCTTGCATGGTTTTAGAATGCTAAATAATATTAAAAGGTGAGTGGATGGTCCCTCTTTCCCTGTTACTGTAAAACTTCCCAAAGTAGCCTATTTTATGTTTACTATAGTGTTAAGATGGTATTCAGTTGAATTTTTCAGTTATCTTTAAATTGTAATTTTTAGTTCTAGCCTAAATTTTATTTACTTTTGGACAGTTTGAAAAATTTTGAACCCAAACTATAAACTTCACATTTGAGAAGTATAGAAATTCAATAAAAACACTGACAATCTACATAAAAATTAATGGAAAACAATTAACAGGGAACAACACTATTATTAGTATTCTACAGAAAGTTCAAGAAAAATTATTAAAATTAAGAGTAAAACAAAGGTGCAGACTATACGATCAACAGAATTTATAAAGACCAGCAAAGCATAATAAAATGTTTTAAAAGGATCCCACACACTACAGCACAAAAATATTAAGTTGTTTAGGAAGAAATCTAGCAAGTAGTATGGAGTATATTGGCAATAATGAAAATTTATTGAAAGATGTAAAAGTATACCTGGCTACAATGCATACTGCGTTTGTTCATAGATGGAAATATCTAACATGAAGATGTTGATTATCCTCAAATAAATCTAAAATGTGGTACAACTCCAATTAAAAGTCCCACATGGAACTTGGCAACCTACTCCTAAAAATAGTATGGAAAACTAATGGGTCAAGAAGAAAAAGTAAATTGAATGGGGGTGGATCACCATGCTAGGAGTCAAGAATTATTTTAGGGTTATAGTAATCAAGAAAGCGTGTCAGTGCAGGAATAATACAAATAAGAGTGGGTAAGAAAAGGGAACCCCAACTCCCATCAGACCTAGGCATACAAAGCAGAGCATATAAACAAAAGGAGGGGAAATAAAGGAGAACCAGTTGTTTATATGGTAAAAAGAGATTAGATCCTTATTTCCCATTATTCATAACAATAAATTTCACCTTGAGTAAGGTCCTAAACACATAAAAGCAAAAATATAAAACTTTTAGAAGAAAACATGGAAGAAAATCTTTATAATATCCATATGTCATAGATTTGCTTTAAAAAGACACAAAAAGTGGAAGTCTTAAAAATATATATAGAACACTTCAAAAAACAACTTTAAAAAAATAATTCAACAGACCAATGGGCAAAGGCATGAACAAGCCAAGAAACAAAAAGGGTTTATAGTAATTGTAGTGATAAAAAATTGGAAGCAACCTATATATTGAACCATAGAATGGATAAGTGGTTGTGGCATATTCATTCAATAAAATATAATGCAGCAATTATAAGAAATGAACTACATGGACATGTATCTGTATAAATGAACCTCAAAGCACACTTAAAATGAAGAAGTTGCAGGAGGATACAGGTGACATTTGTGTAAATTTTAACTACATGACAAACATTATCACATACTGATTATGAATACAAATAAAATAAACATGTAAAATCAAGGCAGGCAGAACCCACACCAACTATATTTAAGTATATATGAGAAATGGGAGAGGAGAATGGTACAGGGGAGGATGTTTGAACTGTCTCTGGAATATTTTATTTCTGTGAAAAAAATAGGGCAAAATGTTTATATCTGTTAAATCTGGAGGTGTTACAAGGGTCTTTATTATATTATTCTGCACATGCTTGAAATATTTCATTGAAGTAAAACTGCATTAACTCCAAATATTATAGCAACTGAAACTAAAATCAGAGGGCCTCATCAACTTAACCAATTGGAAGGCTCTATGGAGGGACATAAGTCACAGACTGTCTCCAGCTCACACTTAACTACAGACAGCTCCTCAGACTGGGTGTGGGTGTTTACTTCAGAGGGAAGTTAAATCCAGCTCTGGAGATTACAGGCAGAGAAGCCAGGGAGCTGTGCCTGCACTGCGTGATGCTCTATGAAGGACCAGGACTTCACTAGCTAGGGCAGAGAATGGTCTTCCTTGTGTAGAACTGGCTCTGCTGCTGTAACTGGTGAAGTGGCTGTTTAAAGAATTGACTAACATGGAATGTAAATAAAACACAACGTAGATTTTTGTGTACTATTAGAAGGGCTGATTTAGTTGACTGAGTGTCTACGGCTAACTTAGCAGTGAGAATAAACTACTAAGCAGCCAGTAGAGGCAGTTTTAGTTTTAGGTTGTGCTTATGATGCAATAGCTAAGTTATATTATGGCTTATTAAATTAGAAGAATTAAAACATGAGAATGGTATCTCATGGCCATATGCCTACAGAGTTTATGGTAATTCCAACATTTACATGAATCCTTGGTTCTACATAGTTCTGTAAGTAAAGACTATATAGCTAATAAAATTTTTCACCTATTTCAGGGAACTATTTGGGAACAATTTTCTACTTATTTTTCCATTCCCGTATCCATTATCAGTTAAATGTAATGATTTCTAATAAACTATAACTTATGACACAATGTATTTGATTAGACAGAGTTCCCTTTTTTCAAGTCCCTCTTTCCTGACACAAGTGTAAAGTTGGGGAGCAAGGCTGCTCCAATGAGGCACCTTAACTGGCTCAGCTTCACTAGATGTGGAAGGAGATGTGGACCTTGACTGGTTGGAAAACTTGATGCTCGGGTTCCGTACATAAGTGTTCTCAACAGGATCAGTCTAGGAAAATAAGTCAGGAAGAAAAAACCCAAGATATCACTTTTAAACAATGTGCAGCTCAAATGTCTGTAAGGCAGAATCATGACATTTTTTGAGAAACAAGAATAACAAACTTTAGTTTGAATATTCATATAAGGGCAGTGTCATTATCCAAAAACACTAGCTTTAATGTAAATAACCTGATAAGGCAAGAGCTTCCTCAGGTCTGACAGCAGGCTGGCTCCTGGCACCGTGTGATGATGATGTGTGCAGAGAAGTGGAGCACACCGGACTATAATGTCTTGTACTCAATTCGCATATGCTGCTTTATGCCATTTTGTTGGGATGTGATCTCACAGACGTTTATAGCACCACATCAACATCTCTTACAGGGTCCCCCACTGCTCCACCCAACCAAAGTGGGAAGGTAAAACATTTGCCAGCATGCTTTGAGACCCTTTGAAAATGGGACATTATGACAGTGGGACACTGCAGAAAAAAAAATACTATTCATTTAATCTGTGATTACACAAATTACTGACTCATAAGGCTTTTAACATGTATCTTCAGTCCTTGTCAAGAATTGCTGTCATTTGTTTAAGTCTGCTCTTCTAACTAGGTTTTACTCTTCAATAAAAATGAAAGAAAACAATACAAATTAGGATAGATTTAAAATAAATTTTTAGCTGGCTGAGGTAAAACTGGCTATATTCAGAGGTAGGTACTATTTAAAATGAAATTATAAACTAATACTAATTCTAGGGGCTGGGGAGATGGCTCAGTGGAATAAGCGCTTCCCTGGCAGGAACAAGGGCCTGAGTTCAATCCCCAGTTCCGAAAAA